CACGGCTGCAGAGCTGCCGGGAAGCGGAGGCCTCGGGCCCGCGTTTGGAAGGGGAGGTTGAAAAGGCAGGGGGAAAAAAGAAGAAGAAAGTCACGTGAATTATTTCATGCTGGCAAGAACATGGAAAGAGGCACTGGGAGAGGTCAGCTCGTTAGGCTTTTCCACGTGCCCACACGCAACGGTTACACTGCTTAAGTCCTCCCCCTGTATCTTCCTGTCAGTGAAAAGTCTTCCAAAGCTAGAGAGAAAGGTCTCCTCAGGATCAAGTGGCAGAAGTCAAGTCAGATGCTGCCTTCATCCCAAGACCGGATGCCCTTCTGGAAGCAGAAGGGCATTGAGTTATCGTGAGCTTGAAAAGCTTTGCTCTTCAAAACCACCCTGTGCCAACTGCCCCAGTGCTCTGCGTGCAGGGGGCACGTGAAGGTGAGCTGGGAATGGAAAGCAGAGAGGAAGATGAAAAAGGACATAAGAAACAGACTCCCAGCACCGAAAATGAGGCTCCTGATCCTGCAAACGTTTAAGCAGCGGCCAAGCTCGACTTGGAGGACCAGTGCCCTGCTTGTTCCCTTGAGAACAGCACAAAATCACCCAGGTTCTTTAACACTGACAGAAGCTGCACAACACCAGGATCTGAAAGCATCTACCTATTACAAATTTAAAACGTGTTTTAAGCATTCTCCTAAAAACAATAAAATCCATTAGCATACTTAGGGTCCAATTCGTTGTGGAAAATTTTATACACAGATGAAGATGTTCCAGCACAACCTGCTCACACACTCAAAGGTGCATCTTCAGGAGCATCTAGGGATAGTTTAAGGATGAATGTGGCAGTGTTTTCAAAGCAAAACCTAACGGGCACGTACAGCAGGGCCCAGAGGCAGTGTCATCTGTTGTTCTGCTGAACACACCACGAACTACGTATTCAAGCTTTGATTGTGCCAACAGGAGGTAGGGCCTCTGCTAGAACAAAAAGCCATTTTAGTTCCTTCCCTCTTTAACAGAGTCAACAGAACCACTCCAAAATACACTCTGAAATTCCTCTGGAAAGCTCCTTATGGTACTACAGGGCATGGCTTCAGGTAAGGAACTGCCCCTCTCTGCTTGCACTTGGGCTGCCCTTCCCAGGGCTGCTGACCACCTTCGTGCATCTCTACACAAACACCTGGTTATATTGGTGCTGTTGGCTGAAGACAAATATTAACTTTAGCAATCTGACAGAAAGAGAAGCAAAAAAGCAGCAGCCTACAGTTTAAGAAAGATAGGAAGATAAAGAGTTAAACTACAACAAATCATGCTTGAGAAGGAAGGATACTGCTTATAAACTGTGATTTCCTCCCCGAAAAGTTTGGACAATGCTGAAAAGAGCACCCTAAGCGCAGAGTAGCAGGACTATCTGTACCAGGAAACAGGAGATGTCCAGAAAATCCTTATCTCACCATACCTTCTTTGGACGTAGAAATAAGAATAAAGAGCAAGAAGGTCTATAGGACAAAAAACATTTCACGTGAATGAGGAAAGCCCCGGGTCACAGGAGCAAAGAGAAGGAGGTCCCTTTTGCTCTTCTCCTGCAGCCACTGCCATCATGACTATTATCACTGCTTGGAAAATCTGACACCTTGTGTCCCCCGCACAGTTGTTCCAAACACCAGTCCCAATATTGCCCTAGTTCCGCTTGGAAAAAACCCTTGATTTACTGGCAGAGCAGCTGAAAGTTTGCAGAACCACCTGGGAAAGTGGTGATGGTCTCAGAGATGCCACTGAAGGCATGAAGGGTTCCCCTCGGCACAGACACAGGGCCAAGGTGCCACTAAGGCTTCAGCAAGGGCCCCCCAGTGACACTGGAGAAGTGCACATTTGGGAAAAGCTAGATAGACGTAAAAAAGCCCAGAAAAAAAAAAGTGTCTCAGAAAACTTAGTTTAATTTAATTGCATGCAAGCTTCTGCCTCCTCATAATTGAATTGGTAGGTGAAATTTGTAAATGGTGGAATTAGCTGCATATGCACAGCACTCAAAGCCAAATGAATCAAGGCTTTTTGCTCCTTCTCTCTCAGAGAAAGCAATTTTAATTAAATCCGTCTATTCCTGCAGAAGGGATAAGGTTAGGTGCAAGAATAACCCAACATATAATCCCTATTTCTGATTTGCACATCTCAGTGGAAACAAATGCTGCTCATATAAAATAGTTCTAGTAAAGTATGGAGGATTAATAAAGGATTTCACCCCACCTCTGCTTCCAAAATCCTGTCTCGGTGGTACTCCCAGAGCGGATGCCAGGTTGCAGCTGTGCAGTCTGCACACTGGCTAACTGAGGAAGCCAGACCAATCAACACACGGAGACACGAAACTGGCTGGGTCTCTTTGCTTTGGTCACCTTTCATTTTCTATAAAACAATCTCAGTTTACACCTACAGACACAAATCAAACACATTCCAAAGCTCAAAATAGTTCTGGTACCTACCAAAAAGATTAGGGTAAAAAATGGCTATTAATTATAAGCCTAAACTTTTAGAAGAAAAAAAAAAAGAAAGGCAGCCTGGTTGTGTTACGATTCCTTTTCTGCATAGCACTGCCTGACCCTGCTTGGGCAGTGAAGGTTGCACTGGACATCTCCAGAGCTCCCTTCCAACCTCAGCGTCTGTTATCTGTGACACCGATTTGACCATTCTTTTCAACAGAAACATTCGTAATATTTAAGGATACACCTGTACCTAGGAGTGGTGCCCACAGAGCCTGTGCACTATACTTACTTTGCTTGAAAGAAATAGTCTATTGGTTTTCATATCTACTATATTGTTTACTGCCCTTTCAAGATCATCTAGGCTTTTGTTTTATGAAAACACCATTTAAGCTTCATCACTGCTTTGCTGACAGTAAACTGGGATTACTTCCTTTAAGCACTGACATTGAGGGCTACCTCCAAAGTCACTGGCATTCCTCAGCTTGCCTTTTATTCCTGCAGCCGAGTGGCACGTTCCAAGTATCAAAGCAGCCAGAAGCAAATACTGGAGGGGAAGCTTCAGAGAGCAGTGCCATTTCCCCCGAGTGCAGCGTAAGCACATGCTGTTTCACAAGATCGTAGTCTGGTTTAAGGTACGTTCTGCCCTGCACCAGCCATTTGCTCACTTCCCTTCAAAAAGGAGAAACTGGGAGATGCTGTACTCCAAAACAAACAAATAAACAAAAGGAAAGGCAACTGAGTTACTTTTTCTCCTAGCTTGTACCTCGATGAGCTCAGGGGTTCTCTTTAAAAGCTCCCTCCGGGGGGTGACGCAGTGATGGCATCACCCAAACCTCAGCCCCACAAACTCACTTCCTCCTCGTGTCCAAAGAGACTCCAGGCTGACAGGGCGCAAAGCACTTCTGCTTATCAAAGGCAGCAAGGCTGTAGTCAGACACTAGAAAAATATCAGCAGAAAACGTTACCTCTGAGATGAAATTTCATGCTTAAGCACTCATAGGCCAATACCCTTCTAAGAGCTTCAGAGACCATGCAAGGCCCTTTTAAAAACCCCTGTGTTTGCTGTATTTTTAGACAAACGTCTTCATGATTACAGGATGAGCGAGATCCCCCCTGCTTCCGGAGGGTTGCTATGGCAACGGGCCCACCGGGGAGCCGGAGTCAGGAACACGGCAGGGCCCCGCGGAGCAGCGTCCCGCGGAGCAGCGCCCCGAGGAGCAGCGTCCCGAGGAGCAGCGCCCCGCGGAGCAGCGTCCCGCGGAGCAGCGCACCGCGGA